CGGCCTGGACCGAACCGCGGGCCGCCCTCGCCCCGCTCAACCCCCCATCAACGCCCCCACCAGGCCACCAGGCCGCACCCGCCCCAGGGCCGCACCCGGCGGCGCCGGCTGCCCTGCCCTGCCACCCACCCACCTGGCTGATGAGCGCAGACAGCGCAAAGATGCGGTCGTCATACACATCCGCCTTGCCCGTGCTCTCAAACCCCTCGGTGTCAACAAACAGCAGCTGGGCAGGGATGGGGCGGGGGCGGGGCGGGGGCGGGGTGAGGCCACAGCCGCGCCCCGACACCGGCACAGGCTGGCCTGCAGGGAGGGCACGGCACGGCGGCCGGCAGCAGCGGGCCCGGCGCGCCGCTCTCCTCCCCGCCCCACCCAGCACCTGCTGCCCGCCCACCACCCATCCTCACATGCGTTGTCTCCCCGCTGGGGAGCTCCACAGGCACCGGCTCCCCCCACACCCACACCCCTTTGGTCTGCGTCAGCCGCGTGTGCCCCACGCCAAACCCCTCGTCTGCGGGCAGGCAGCCAGGCGGACGCGGCGGCGGGGGGTGGGTGCTGGCGTGCGGCGGGGCATGGCGCTGCCCGCGACTCCGCGCGCGGCTACCGCCACAGTCCCGTCAGCCGCAGGCGGGCAGGCGGGGCAGGGCGGGGCAGGGCAGGGCAGGGCAGGCGCCACACCCACCACATGCCACGCCCATGAGCTGGTTGAGGGTGAAGCTCTTGCCGCTGCGGTACGGCCCAATGACGGCCACCGGGCACACGGTGCCCTTGATGCTGCGCAGCAGGTCCAGCCCCTCCCGCTGCACCTCCAGCTTGGAGTGGTCAGACATGGGCTGCACGATGGCAAACCTGCGGCAGGGCGATGCCAGCGGCGGGGCAGGCGTCAGCGCTGTGCGCTGTCGGGCGCCGCCATGCATACCACACACCACTGCTCCACACGCGCCGTGCCCATGCATGCAGGCAAGAGGTGCACAGGCACCAGGGCGCGGCACAGCCCATGTCTGGACGGTAACAAGCCACCGGCGGCAGCGGCTCACGGGTGGCGGGTGCCGCTGTCGGCACCCTGCGAGGGCGCTGCCGTCAGCGCTGCTGCCAACAGGCAGGCAGTCCAGAGCCGACTGCAAGCCCCCATCGCCGTCCCGCCAGCCGCTCCCGGCGCCTCAAGGGGCAGGTCGTCACCGCTGGCCCCACACGACAAGGCGTGCCACTAGCATTTCTGGCCGATTAAGCGACTTGTATCAACGATCGCTGTGCGCGGAGGCTCCTTGCTCCCGCCAGTCGGTGTCCCAGATGGGGAAAGAGAGCGGTAGGCAAGCGGGCTGTGAGCGTGCTCGTCAGATCATCGACAGAAGCATGCGGGGCAAGGAAAAGGGGTGGAATAGCGCTCCCCAAAAGGGGTGCCACGCTGGGCGACCCGCCTGCTGCCGCCGACCTGCCGGCTTTTTGCAATTATTGCGTGGGCATGCATGCATACACCACCCCTGAATTCTGCAAGTACCACGCTGTTACTTGTTTAGCAAGTGCAAATGATACAGGCCCCCTGCACCATGGCGCACCCCCACCCCCGCATCCTACCGCCTGCGCTTGAACTCCAGTGCGCCCTTGCCGCCGCCCACCGCCTGCTTCATGTCGCCGACCCCCGCCCGCCCCGCCGAGCCCCTGCCTCCGGCCCCTGCCGCCGGAGCGGCCGCTGCAGGCCGCCTGCCCCGCCCCGAGGGCTGTGCAGGTGGCTCTGCGGGCCCAGCATCTGCTGGGGGCGGCGCTGTGGCTGGCCTGAGCACCTGGGCTGCCGGTGGTGCCTGGGCGGCTGGGGCAGCAGGTGCCTGCGCCCTGGGCAGCGGCTGGCTCTCCCTCACCAGCATCTGCATCAGCGCGCAGCCAGGCAGGGAGGCCAGGCGGTGAGGGCAGGCAGGATGGGCAGTGCAGCAGCCTGCCCGACACCGCTCCACGGCAGTGCCTCCCACCCAGCGGGGCCCCGGCGGCGCCGCCCCGCACCTCCACAGTCTCGCTGCAGCGGCTGCTGAGCGCCAGCGGGTCCAGCGCTTGCAGCGGCACACGCGCCAGCTGGCTTCCCACCACCTCCGCCACCGCGGGGGCGGGGGCGCCCGCCGCAGCCGCCGCAGCCCCTGCCGCCGCAGGCAGCATGGGAGCGAGCAGCTCTTCGGCGCACGCCACTCCGCTTGGCGCACAGGGCGGGGGGGTGGCTGTCGTGCTGGCAGGGCAGCAGCAGGTAGTGGAGGCGGAACAGG